CCTAACACCTTAAATATAATATATAATNTAATATATTAANATTAATATATAATATAATNTACTAAAAATAATAGATATAACCAAAGTCCTAAATCTTTTCGGATTCTATTTCTTTTAGGAAACTTATCAATGTCAATTTCAATATCCATCACAATCCCACATAATATGAGATTTCCTTATTTTGGGTGATATGGTAATAATTTTGGATATTACCATATCTAACAACACTGGCATGTTTCATTCATCTTAAAGCCTAGTCAATAGGGGATCGAGCGATTTAAATGCCACTTCAGTGTTCACCAAATTATTTCTAACGATTAAATCAGTCTTTTGCATCTCAAAACTGTAAATTCTCTGCTTGCATATTATGATTTTCAGTTTCTAGGTTGTGCTACTTGGAAAACAAGAAATCATAGTACTCTTTTTACTCCTAGAGTTCAACGCTGATGCGCCTTTGAATGTACAAGTTCGCAATGATAGTGTGATTTGGTTTGAAGCTTCCATGTTAGACAATGCCATGCTTATCGCTTCTACCTTAAAAGAGGTCTTTGCCAATGGCTGATTCAAACGTTGCTTTAACCAACTTTGAAGATATTGAATATTCTCTGAGGCCATTCAAATATTGAACTGTCAAAATCCTTTTTGCTATAGTTTTCATTTACAGAATGATGATTAAAATGAAGAAACAATGATTTAATTCTAACCAAGATATTTACCCAAGTGGTTTTTCGTTTTTTCTTTTTCTTCTTTTCTCTTTTTTTTACCTTTTTTTTTTAAAAAACATTTGTGGGTTGTTTTGGGGCGGGGGTTGCGGCCAAATGCAATTGTATGTGTCACAGACTATTATGTTTACACTTTTCTGTTAGAACCATTAGAAAGGGGTGTGTTGTACTGTTCTTAATCACTTCCCCTCTGCCTGCAGAGTCTTAAACCTTCACTTCCCTTTTATTACACCAGATTCCTGCTTCTTTGCAAGCATCTACGAGAGGGAGCTACATACACCATAGACCTCTAAAGAGTAGTTTAGTTAAAACCTTCCATGAGATTTGGATCTGAGTGATCTTAGAAGAAAAGGTCTGTCATTGCTTCGTAACGTATGGCGGCCAAAAACTTCTGTAAATAGTTATCAACTTAGCAAAAACTCTCCATAAAGTTAACCATAGGGAGATATCTCCTCAATTTTAGGGGCCAATTGTTGTAGAAGGGGATCCTCTTGACATGATAACATGAGCAATGGGGAGAAACATTACTTGTGAAGAGCGGCAGACCATTTTAAGGATATCTTGCACTTAGTTAGCATATGAGATATATTTTTTTGACAGACCTTTAGGGAAGCAAACAGCAAAGCAGGCCTGCTGGCCGAACAAGGAGTTTCATAGGACCACATCATTAGAAATTTTTGTAGAAGTTAGCATGCTTTTTTTCTTTTTTCATTTTCATCTTCTTTGGTTCTCTTTTTTCCCTCAACAATACATATTTCTGCCTTCCTATACTTAACGTATGACTGTACACATATTTGCTACAATGAAAGGCTGTTAAATGTTTAAGCGCACACACAAAAAGAAAAGAAAAGAAAAGAAAAGAAAAGATAAGAAAAGAAAAATAGTAACTGATGTATTGCAGAAGACGCAATTCATGAGCATTTCATGTCTCTGGCTTTGGGTTGTTCGGTGCAACTGATATGACCATTAAATAGCTATTATTTTCTAGATGACTGAAGCAGATGTCATTTGATAATTTCTTTGCCCTGCCAGTTATGGTTTGCGAGGACTCTTCGTATTGGGCTTATCAGAACTCATTCTCCAGGCTTGATAAGAAAACTCATAGTAATATTCAACATTGGACTACTGGAAATGTCTAACTAGAGTTCCTTAGTCCTTACTAATATGCATAATCATTTGCAGTAACTTGAAATACCAATCAATTATATTCTTAACTGTGGAATTTCATCTAAAAAGGCATGAACGATGATATGAACTCCTGCTTGCAGATCTTATTTCTACTGAGATATGGTGGTGATATAAAGAATAAATTCTATGTCGAGTCCTGAATTCTGAGTGCTGAAGCCTTTGTCTTGGACATTTAGTAGCAGTTTTTGTTAAATTTAAGAAATATGACTATTATTTTTAGATGTTTGTCTTCCACATCTTCTTCTTTGTCCTATCCTGCCCTGCTGTCCTTTTTTTGGAAGGAATTTGAGGCTCGGAAGAGCACAACAAGATAATTGATAATGCAATTGGAGTGCTGATTTAATGCTTTCTACAAATCTATGGTCTTGGGCTTTCACCTGGCTGGAAATTTTGAATCTGAAGTGTTACAAAACATTATGCTAGCAGGCCACATGTTACTTGAATTATGTTGTCAAATCTAAAGATGCTTTAGAGAGATCCGTTTCCCTTATGTTATTTTCCAATGCTCCTAAAATTTCTCACATACCATGATCTTTAAAAATTCATGTTCCACAAAATGGAGAGTTGTGAGTGTTCATGTTATTGTGATATCTTTCCTTCTAAAATTGGAAGTTTTCATTGATGTTATTGCTAAAAATAATACCCACTTCCCACCATGCCTTTGTTTTTTATGAAATATTACCACTTTTAAGAAAAAATGCTTGGCAAATGGATACTTACACACTGTAATCGTGTTACATTATCCTTATTTCTAAAACCATAAGTTTTCATCCAGTTACGCTCATCAGCTTGCAAAACCAAGGTTTAAAAAAATGGATCGGTGACTCGAATCGGTCTCTCCCATACCCGTGTCGGATCGGAGAATTGGCCGAATTGACAATTTTTGTCCCCAATTGTTTTTAAAAAATCACTATAAATCTCTAAAAATAGTGTTCTTTTAGTTTCTAAAAGAAATTAGGAGTGGTGCATTTTGTACTTTCATTACTTTGTAAAAATAAGTGAATACTGAGACGCTTTTTTCCTGCCTGGATGTCTGTATATTTATTAATTATAATGGAGTATTATAATATCGTATCAAAATAGTAATTAAAAGATATTACAAAATACTTCCATATTATAAAATTAAAAAATAAATTTTTATATGAAGTGAAATTAGTATCACATCAAAGTATCAAATATTTATTAATTCGCTTTACTCATCCAAAATTATTACAACCTAACTACCTATAATATTATATACTGAAATTAAAAAATTATTAGAAAACGCTTCCATTTCATATGATAAAAAATAAAAATAAAATCCCCTATAAATTTCAATGTTATGATATTCAAAAATTCAAAAATTCAAAAAAATAGTTTTACCCTAAAAAATGGAAATTAAAGATATCAACACGTTTAGAGCTACAAGAAAATAATAATAATAATATCGCAACAAAACTTACCGATAAAGTTATTTTTCTAATAAATAGCAAAAAATTTATATTGCAGCTTTTTAATATGTCACGCTAATTATTTCATTTCATTAATTAAAAACTGTGTTGACGGGTTGAGGCTCATTTAATATGACATAATTTTTATGCGATTATATTCACGTAATTATATTGACATAAATTTAACATAATTATTTTAATTTTTATTAACATAAATGAACAACAACAATTGCATATAATTCTATTAATTCTTATAAATTTTTTAGTTTGGTAAGTAATTCTTGTAAATTTATTGTATATAATTTCTTATTTGTAATTATATGTAATTAAAATTTAATTAGATATGCTTTTATTTTTTGTAGATTATAGAAAAGAAAACTGGATATAATTAATCTAAAATAAATAAATTCTATTTTGTAGACCATTGTAGTGTGACGTTGGTGGTTCCTTGTATAAAGGACATTACTTTATTTGTATAAGAGAGAGTGTGATGGAGATGCTTAAAGAAAATATCCCAAGAGAGAGAGTGTGATGGAAAAGCTTAAAGAAAATATCCCACATCGTTGGATGGTGGGAGGATGTGGGGGTATAAATTGTCAAGGCTATAACCTTGCAAAGTAAGACGCTCACGTGGGAGGCAGGTGAGTTCTGCCCAAGTAAGTAGGGCCTGCCAGTTTTTGAAGTTGATGTGACATGGGCCACGTGTTTTTTAAATGAAACCCTAAAGCTACAAATCCAGTTTTAAAAAAAATATTTGGTTTATATAAAAAATATCCAGTTTAATGACAAAAAAAGAAAAGGATCGGTGATGTGTCCCATTTTTGACGTCATGACATCGATTCATGACGCCAGCATACGATCCATGAAGTCAGCAACGATTCTACAACCGAATGCCGTTTAATACTCAGATTTGGGATGGGTTGGATGATACCCGTTCTGGATCACCCGATCCCAGATCGGATCACCGAATTTTTTAACACTGTGCAAAACTATGTCATATGTTTATGTTCTGTTGAACCCATTACTTGGTTATTAATTATTTGAGTGTCCTTTCAGCTCCATTTTTATACTTGATAGTCTCTTGGCTTTTTTGTTCAAAATGCTTTGTTCCTAATTTATACTTTCTGAAATGCGCTGTTTTTAAACACTTTTCAGTTGATTATGGACCTTAATCACATTTGCTTTGTTGTAAACTTGTAATTGTACCATTCGATATACTTGGTATGTGCACTTTTTAAAAAAATCCATTGTCGTTCCAGTTTTTTATATTGCGGAAATTTCTCCTGTTGCTTTTGTCAAAGGTTGATTTTGTTTTGTCGCAGATTCTGGAATTGGCAAGGTTACCGTATTCGTTATCAATATGCTGGAAGTAGTGGCCCATCATTAGTTCTCATTCATGGTTTCGGTGCAAACAGGTCTAATGTTGACATCTCTTGATTCATTAGATGCCAGCCGATTTTGATAGGGTGAGATAGTTTTGATTTATGTTCAGCGTAACCAGGATTATTCCACGTGTAACTTGCCTCATTTGCTGCCAGGTTTTAAAATCTATAGTGTACAATATATTGTTGCTTGATACTGTAGTCATCTCCTTTACTAAATTTTCTCTTTTCTCTATGTATAAGTATCTTTCTCTATTGAGGTTCTTTGGAGAAGTTACCATATTAGAAGTTAAGGTTCAAACAGCTTGTTTGCAGTTTCCAGCTTAAAAAAAGAACAGTTTTATGTATAACTTGTTTCTCAAGCAAAGTTTCGTTTTTTTTCCTCAAATAAAGTTACATATATTTTCATTACCAAAAGTCAAGGGGTAATTTTGTCGTATTTCATGAGGATATTGTTGAAATTTTCATGACATGACAGGGCTATTCCTACTTATATACGGGATGCTTTCAAAATGTTATTGTATTTTTTTGAAAAATTGAAATTTATCTTTACTCAATGATTAAGCTACCTTTAAAAAAGTAGCTTTTTACCAAAAAAAGAAATGATTGTTGTAAAAACACACATCACAACCCCATTCTAATCTTAGCATTTTTATCTTGAGGAGTTCTTGTATAGAGTATTCCTTAACATACTCATACATTGGAAACTCGTTACCCATGCTTTTTAATTCAAACGTTTTTTGAGCAAGGGCATTTTTTGTCATTAGTGAGGAATAGAAAGAATACATATTTTTAGAAGCAGACAATGTCATTTTATTAATTATTAGAAAACAATTAATGCTTCTTGTCAGTCATATCACACCCCATGTGGGGACGTCACATCTTTATGTGAGTGATGTCATTTTTTACCATAGTTAATAATTCTTTTTACCAAAACATTCTACCCTTTGATTCATCATATAACTAGGTTTAAGATTCATGAAAGATGTGGCAAAGTTTTTGGTCAGTTGCTCTTCCTAACACAGCCCTCCTCCTATACTCGGGCATGGGACCGGTATGACCGGCTTGGGACAGGCCATGGAGGAGTTGCCAAATATCCCTATGCAAAAAATTCACTATAGTGAGGAATAAGGGTAGTAAGTTGCCAAATACATTGAGTAGGTTAAGACCACTCTCTCTCTCTCTCTCTCTCTCTCTCTCTCTCT